CCTTGTATAAAACATGTCAGCTATCCTAGTGGCTGAGTATTGCACAATGAAGACTATTTCAACTATCAATTAATCATTGTTTTTTCTTAATCTCTCAATCTATGGTATGGTGTCACATATAAATCCAATATATGTTAACAATTACAAATACAAACAACCAGAAAGCAAGCCATCATCTTCAAATAGCTTGTTCAACAGTCCACAACACTAAGCTAAAGCCAGTGAATGTAGAGCGATGACCTTTCTATATACAGCACCACTGTATGCAGAAACAATGAGTAACTGTGTTCACATTGAGCACATGGTTAGAGAAAGGTTATGGTGGTATTGTAAACATGTGAATATAAAAACATTTTTGTCAGCCTCCATTTATCTTTATCATTCAGGCATTTTTAAACACATAAATCTCCCTCCACAAAGTGTCCTTGTATGCTAAACATAGCCAGAGCATATGAACATGTGTTTCATGAGATAAATGAGTGTCCGGCTAACCTAAACAGAGCTGCTCCATTTCAACAACGCTGTCCAGTCGATTCTCCAGTTAATGGAGTTTGCTCAGTGCCAATTGTCACACATGGTTAGTTCCCATTAAAAAAAAACTCATTAGTCTCTGCAAAGGACTGGGCCAGTTCATTCTAATAAAGTGCTCAGAAAACGGTTTAAGTAAAGACTTTCTCAGTTTTGTATTTCATTTTGTATTTAAATATCACTTTATAATGTGTTTCTTTTGCAATAACTATTTTTATCATGTATTGTAAAGCACTTTGAATTGCCTTGTTATTGACATGCTCCATAAATCAACCTGCCTGGCCTTGCTTTGAGGGAAGTCATTTGTTATCTGTCCCGATCAGTAAATGATTTGAATGCTCCATAAAGCACATCACTGAGTGTGATACACACCTGTGCGAACATGGTGTTGAGAAGGGAATGGATGTAGAATCAGTATAATAAATCAAATGTCACAGCAACCAAGTATAGGAAAAGAAGAGCAAATAGACCTGCTTTAATGGTACAATAAATGTAATGGAGAAACTATGCTACCTGCATGAATGACATGCATGGGTTTTAAAAGCTTTCTCATTGAAAATAGAGGCTCTCTGAAAATGATGCTTTGAGATAAGAAAGATTAAACAAAACATTTAAATAAAAATTTGCTGAGAATCACTATTAATCTCCGTAAAGCTGAGGGGAGCTGCAGATACAGATGATAATTCTCAGTTTGTTGCCTCAGTACAAGCCATCCATTTCCCATTGTTTTTATAAAAATACAAATAGCCGCTTAAGATCACTAAGCTCAAAATCTAACTAACTATAACTGTGTTCTGGGGTGGTATTGGCAGTGCATGTTCCATTTCAGCCCACACCACTGAGGAAGCCATTCAGTTTGTGTTGGTGCTCGCTCTGTGTACTGAAGATAATCCACTTGATTGTAAAGTAACTACTGTACTATACAAACACCTAGAAGACTAACCTGGCATGTGGGAAGAACAGAGATAATCCCTGTTGTTGCAAGATGTTCTCTGATCTGTGCAAAAATAGCCAGCCCACTTCAAGTCTTTATTACCCATCATACTGCGGTGGGAAAACTGGTTTGAAATCTAATACATTACATGCTGAAAGTATAATATTGAGGGTTGAACACAGCCTAATCCTGATCCTCTGTGGGAAATACATTTGTTGTTGCAGCAGCACATAAATGCAAGAAAACCAAATAGGAAATTGTGGGGTTTAGCAAAACACAAGAGGCATTTCCCATACCGTGCTATCACAACATGAGAGGTAGAGATGAGACAGCATGGGAACAGAGAATTTATGATTATGGGGGGGGGGGGGGGAATAGCAGCAGGAATACAATGATTAACACACTGACAGATTGTAAACCTGCGGCAAGCAGTGGGCCAGACTCGTAATACTTGTTAGGCACAAATATGATCTGAAACTCTTTGTAATAGTCCTACCGCCAGCTAAAGCACATCATAAATCCTCAAGTCATGTTCAGTCATGAGAATCAAGGGAGGACCAAAACAGTGTTTTTTGTAAGGCTTATATTTGTTTAATCCTTCTATGGTAAATGTAGCTTTAAATTATGAACAATATTCTTTGGTTCCAGCTTATCTGGGACTTGCTACTTGTGGTGTCATACATTATAGTAAATTAAAATATTTTGGTTTTGGTGTTGTTCCTGCAAAAATCAATACATTGTTCCTTGGTCTAATACAATAAATAGAGCTCCAATGCTTTAACGATTGATTTATTAGTCTAACGGGGGCAAAAACAAATTCACACTTGACTTTGACGAAAAATGAATTCTTACACAATGGACTGATTAAGCGATTTTCATTTCATTTCATTTCAAACCTTTATTTAACCAGATGGTCCCATTGAGATCATAGATCTCTTTTTCAAGGGAGATCTGCAGCATATAGGTTCCACATGAAACATAAAACAATAAAGGACATCATACATTATATTTACAGGATACATTTACATAGTTATAGACATTTCCAAGTACCCATAGTATCAACGAGCATTTCATTTAGCCTAGCTTTAAAAACATGCAGAGCGATGACCTGCTACTGACACTAATCTCAAACGAATGCATGTAATGAAATGCAATGAGTTCACGTTCAGTGTTCCTGGGTCAAATCTGGACTGTATGCTTCTTATTTTAATCAGTCTGTTTTTTTATTGTGTGTGCATGTAGAAAAAGATAATGCGTGGGCTAAATCTCATCCTGTAGTCAATGTTCTCTGTCACTGCACACGACGCTGGACTGATTCAGATGTCAGGGATGAACAAAGATCCAAACCACACTGAGATTTTGTGAAGATAACACCGTGGAAAACTCTGTGAAGTGCCACTGTAGTAAGTATCTCATTCCTTGAAACACTGCACGAGGCTAAGTCTGTAACAGAGACGTCATGCAAGTTCTCAGAATCCTTTCCTACTTTAACTCCGCAGCGAGACATAGTTCGAAGGTCAGGGTTCCCTGATTATCCCTGTAGTAATACACTGAGAGGCTGCTAGTGGCTGTCAGGTCAGTTTACCTGCTTTGTGGATGTCAAATTACATCTCATCTTCAGTGGCCAGCGGCGACAGAGGGGTTTGCTGGTTTTAAATGAACTTCAAACTGACTTATTAAAAAGGGATCAAGAGAAAAGGGCACAGGGTTCATTTTATACAAGCCACTCTGGCTCTTGCTTTTGACGTCTGTGGTGTAATTTTAGAAAGAATATTTTGGGGGAATCATATTTCACTTGCTGTGGAAAAACATGTATTTCAGCCAAATGTACAGTATTTGTTTTAATGATAAGAATAGTTTACTTTAAGATAGAATGAAACAAGAAACCAGTAAACATGCTTTTCCTGTGCCTTCCCTATCGTCTGTGAAGGCTCAGCTCTATTAAGCTAATAAACTGTCAAACTGTTCTTCAGTCAAGTCTAATTAGCTAAGCAAAAGTGTTAGCAAACATGACACCATCCCAGGCCCAGGGTATGTCAGTTCAGGTTTATACTTGTATTTTCCTCACAGTAAATGCAATCTGGTGCCTTTTATGCAGGTCTGTACAATGGCAACTTCCATGACAAATCAATTATTCAGTTCTTAGAGTCATGATGCGCAATGCCTAAAAGTACAGATGAGCTCGCATTCAGAATTAGTGAGAAAAATGGTGGAGCAACCCCTGAGTAATGTTGCAAAAGCTTCCATTTTCTCACGTTGCTTATGTTGGATTTTATATTGGATGACAGTCTGCCACACCTATAGCCTGAGAGGCCATGTTGCATGATATTATATTTTGAAAAAGGTGTATTAGTCTGCCAGCATAATTAACACACCCTGATGGCCTCACACTGCTTTGTGCTCATCTGAGCCAGTCTAGCCAGTCTGCAGAAGTGTAATAAAAATGAAAAGGCTGAGGCATGGATTTTTTCTTCCTCATTCGTTCCATCTGTTTCCTGAATAAACACAACAACAACCGCTTGCTCCTCTATAAAATTAGTGTGGCAAGACCCAGTTGTACTACCATTACATCGTTGTCACAGAGTTACAAAAATCCAAGCAAAAAATTAATAAATCCTGGAAAAGCCAGAACATGTTTTAAAAACACCACTGATAAAATGGTATTTTCAGAATCCTTAAAGATATTTTTCCAGAGGTTGTATTTGGTGGTTGCGTTGAATTATGTTTCTGTAGACTGAGTGATGTGTCTACCCTTCGTGATATTAATGGGGTGGTTTAAATATTAGAAATGCCTATCAATACCATGCTATACAAACCTAAGAAATGACAATATTTGAATGAAAACCTCTTTAGAACAGTATTTTTTTAACGAAATAACCTTCATTTTTAGCAGAACTGTTGTATTTGGATATTCTAATACATTCATTAAGTGTGTTTATGTTGTACAAATTGAGCAACAACACACACATCATTTCCGGCCTCTGTTTTGAAACAGGTTTATAAAAACACTGTCATGCCTGATATCGAATATGTTTTAATCAGAAATGTATTACTGTATGACAGGCACACACTAGGGCTATTAGGCAATCAACAACAAGTATAAACACCGATATGGCAAGCCTCCATTAGAGTGAATGACTCAGGACTCGTCATGGTCAAAACAGAGAGCAGTGCATCAGTTCACATCCTGTATGAAAGAACTGAGACTAATGATAAGTATGACTTGTGAATTTATTGGAAGGTATGAAGTCAAGAAAGCACAGAGCATGAATTAAACTTAGACTATGTGCTCCTCTGACTTCATGACATGTGCACCCACCCAAACCTGAGCTGAGACACTGAGCTGATGCAGGCTGTTGTTTACAAATGTTTTGACAGCAGGAGCTACATTCAGGGAGTTTAGTACGGTCTTCAGAAGCGTTAAATGGATTAGGAGGAGGATTACTGGCACGCCACATTTAACCTTGTGGTTCTCACAGCTAGTTTGTATTTAACGTCAGCACACACTTCACACATGCAGGGGTTTTAGCGGGTTTACCTTTTCGTCTTCGTCTTCACTTTCTTCATCCATTGTCGGAGTGTCGTTGTCTTCTTCCTCGAGGACACTTTCCGAGTCCGAATTGTGTCCATCATCTGCAGAAACTTTGATGTGCACCACAGGCGACATTTCTTCCCCCTCGGACAAGGTGTTTGAACCGGACGACGACGACGACTCACTTCCACACGAATAACAATGTTTTTGCTCCATTTTAAATCAACTAATATTACCAATTTGAAAGCAATAATGACGTCAAAACGAAGCGCAGTTATTAATTAACCTGTCCACGCACCTGTCCAGTCAATTCATTTTCGTTTTGAGCCCATAAAAGGATACCACACTTTTTTCTGACCGAGTAAAAACAAAGTCACGACGTTGCTGAAAGATATCGATATTAAAATACTTGTCGACCCGGTTTAGTATCCATGTGAGCGTTAGGCTGGTGTCCCCGCTTCAGTTAAAAGTTCCCCCTCTGGATTGTGGAGCATTTCTCTCCCCAAGCAGCGCGAGTCCATGCTGTCATTGCCTTCATAATGCACTGCATCCACAGAGTAAACCCCGCCCACAACGTGCTGGGCCGACCAATCAGATCACAGCAGCTTCAAAACCAAATAAAGGAAGTTTTATCACCTTCACATCTTCAGTCAGTGCCAGGGGGGATCAATTAGGCTCCACTATGGGACACTTTTTGAAACACTGTTGATTGTGACATTGTTTTATAAAATAACATTGTGGTTTCTGAACCGAAGATATGATGTTTACATACATAACACACGCCTAGTAGGATACTCAAAAAAGTATAACTGAGACTTTGTGATACCAGTGGTGTATATTTAATTTCTACGTACCTGTATTACCATTTTACACAACTGTATTCTTCTACTTCACAAAAAAATCTAATTATTGTACTTTTTACACCATTACATTTGTCTGGAATCTTAATATTGCTTTTCAGATTTTCTTTCATTATTGCCTTGTCCATTGAACAACATGTATCTCTAATTGAGTGATTTTGAATGTGTCTAATAGACTAAAGGATAAGGTTTTCCTTTATGATTTTTAATATACAACCTTAAATAATTATCAATTTGTATTTTCACATTGGAATATTTATTTGAGTACATCTTCGACCACCGCTACATACATTATACAATTCATAGCCTATTCAAGTAAACACAAACTTTCAATTATCACTATCAAAAATACATCTTAGCACACTGATTCTATTTATAGACATGTGCACATGAATATACTGTAAATAATACCAACTTCATGCATATTACAGTAAGTCACCTGTTACATTAATATTTAATATCATTCTGCACAATTTAGTTTTCAAGGTTAATGTAGAAATGACAGTTAGATGTTAATGTGTGCCTGTACCCTATTTATCTTCCTTAAATGTTTTTCTTAGAACTGAGTGTAAGTACATTGAGAGTGAAGTCAATTTCCTTGTATGGTTACACATTCTTGGCCAATGAGGTAAAGCTGATTCTGATTCTGCGTCTCCAAGTTTCTGAATCCAGGATGTGAAGTTTACATGTGCAACACATAACTTGGATATTTGTGTACATGTAAATACAGTCACTTCAGGGAAGGGATTTCCAGGAACCTAAAATACTCTTTTTACCAGCAGGATGAATACACTAATCTGGCGTACAATGAAAAAGTAAAAATGCTAATCCAGATAGCAAGAAGTGTTTTGAAAACATGAGCAAAATATTATGTTATTTTGAAAGAAAAAAAGTATAGACTATGGGAAAAGATGATCAATTTATGTTTATCAACATAACTGATATATTACATACTGAAAGTTTTATTTGACGGTGGCACACTTCTTGTGAAAAAAATGTGCAGCAGTTTTCGGAGTTGATGACAACAGAAACAAATAAATTACTATAAAAATAGTATATAAACATTTTTGGGTGTGATTTTAGTGAAATATGCTCCAAAATGTTTGGCTTTCATAGTTGTTTGGATTAGGAAGAAGAAGCCAAACTTGGATATTATTATTCCATGATTTATTTGGTTTGTTTTTTTAAAACACACACTCAATCTGCGAGGACAAAATCTTACCCATAGCTCAAATAGTCATATTAATTTCTTAAGATTGATTTGGTTCTCTCAGCTCATAAACACATTCAAATGCAAAACACAGGAAGAAAAATATTGTTTGGTGGTTTCACCGTGTTGATCATCTTGATTAACTTGGAAACATAATTGCCAGAGTTTAATCAGATGACCCCAGATCAGCTGTGAATGTATCACTTCTGCCTGTTGTTTACACAGTACTACAGCCATGATGTGATGACAGAGAACATCTTCTGGTTGCCAATGTTTACTCTAAGATTTCCCACCACATTAATCCTGTCACACAGTTGATGGATCTCTGTTCATGATGAGCAAGGGGGTCATTTCCACTGGGATTATTATCAGTGTGGTCGTTCTGTATGCAGAGGAAGACTGCTTTACTGATGATTCTCTCTAAAACACAGCCGGTCTGGGAAGCCGGATAATGACATATTAAAATGAAAGTGTCTTTTTGATAAGGGGCTATCCTTGATCCCGCTTAGGAAATGTTCCTGGTCTCCTCTGAATGGGGGCTCTTTGCCGTTTTCAATAAAAAAGTGAATATAAGTGATAATAAAACAGATTTACAGGGACTCAGTCATGATAAGAAAGGCTTTCTTTACATTATCTTTTTCTTCTTTAATTATCTGACGCCCTGGATCACATCTGCATGGACAGGTGAAACTAAGTCAGCCTAAAAGAGAGGTGCCCTGAAAACAAAATTAATTGCAATCAAGGACACTATACTATGTATAGTAAACATGCAAAGTTGCCTTTAAGTAAACTTGACACATTAAGTTGGTTAGTACATAAGCAGTGCAGCTTACATAGAATCTATAATATGTTTTTAATGTTGGTGAACTGATGGCATGTCTTCTTTTGTTGAAAGTGTGTCACTTCTTAAACGAAACCTACATCCTTGGTTAAAAAACAAACAGTAGCATTTAAATTCTTAGATTGCCACACACATATCAACATAGGCAAAAAAAACTCAGAGCTTCCTATCCAGACCATGTTTACAGACAACAGCACACAGCGCCCTCTAGCCTGACTCCACAGGCAGTGAACCTACAAATCTTCCTCCCTTTATAATCCTCATCCATCACACCGAGCTCCACAGAGTAAATAGACTCCTGAAGTGTTGAGCCATTAAACCAACCAGTTCTGATCTATGTGATGTATCAACAGCAGAGAAAGTGTTGACATCTAACAGATACTGTTTAAATTGCAAGCTTGCATGTGTGCTAATGATTATCAATACCCAGCACAGAGTCAAACAGATAACACTGCTGTCACAACCACTACTTCACAGTTTTTCTAAGCATGCTAAAATGGTGACCATGGTAAACATCAGCATATAAAACATTTCTCTTCACTTATTGTGATCTGGAAAGGATCAGTAGGCGTTTGCTTCTGCTCGAGGCGTTGTTAATGTGCATAATATCTTTGTAGTGTTCTCTGTCACTGAAAACACACAAACCCGCCCTGCACCTGGATAAAAGAACACACAGCTCACTGAATTCCGGTTTGAAGTTCAAAGTTCAAGTTCATAAATGTAAGGTCATCCAGTTCCTGAAACTAACCTTTTTTTCTGAATCAATAACACCTGTTTGAGACAGCCCTCACATTCAAATGTAAAATATAAAAGTGTGCTGTCATAATAAAGAAAAACACTCCCAACGCTCAACGATTGGTCAAAGCTGCCTGAATCCTATCACTGTCAGTGGACTCATATCTTCTCATATCTTTTTAATGTATTTTGTTTATTGATTTTTAAACCCTTTTTCTTCCTCCAGAGAAAGTGCCCTTTTTTTCCCCTTTTATTTTTTTTTAAATAAATGAATATATATCTACTGCTGTTTGCGCACAGTTTCCCTTTCCAAAAATATATTGATTGAATACAAAATAAAAAGATCAGGTCTGGAGATTAGACTGTGAAGTTCCGATGCCCTCTCTCCAGTCTCTACCCTCCCTCCCTCCACGTCTCCTGCACAGCGGTGCGGACATCGGCAGTCCCTTGACAGACAGGTAGCAGCACCTCCCACTTTACTGTCCCATGTTATGCCGGCTTTTCTTGGCTTGTTTGAAGGTGAGTGGTGATGAACAAATGGCGAGTTCACAGCTAATTAACCAAAAGACAAAAACAAATATAGTTAACTAAGGTAGGCTACTAGCTAATGGATAAGTTAGCTCTTATTAAGTTAGCTCTTAGACTTATTACTCAATAACCAGCTTGGCTGCAGTAAAAAACTCAAAACGAGATTTTCAAACGTAAACATAAAGACAGATAACAGGCTCATCACAGACAAACTGGATGTGGCCAAGTACTTGAACATTTTTTTCACAAACATAGCCACAACTCTTGTAAATAAATTACCCTCCCACTCAGGGCTTTTTGGAGTAGATCACATCATGACCTACTACAAAAACCTAGGGGTACGCAAAGATGATTTCAGTCTAGCAAGGGTAACAACAGCAGAGGTACTCATTAAACTGAGCGCCCTCAAACCTAACAAGGCCACTGGCCACGACAATATCCCCTCCAAATTCCTCAGAGACACAGCAACCGCCATCTCACCAGTCATAGCTCACATAATTAACCTCTCCATAAAACAGGGAAAAGTACCCAAAGACTTCAAAATTGCAAGAGTAACCCCCCTGCACAAAAAGGGCAGCAAATTGGACCCAGGCAACTACCGCCCTGTTTCTATACTTACCTCCATCTCGAAAGTCATGGAAAAAATAGTATATGAACAGGTCGAAAAGTACCTCGCAGAAAAGAAACTAATCTATGAATTTCAATCTGGCTTTAGAACATCCCACTCCACTGACACATGCCTCCTTTATTTGAACGACCACATCAAACAAGAGGTGGACGAGGGTAAATACTGCGGCATGGTGATGCTGGACCTACAAAAGGCTTTCGACACTGTCAATCACCCCATTCTGATTGACAAGCTAAAAGCAATTGGTTTTGATAAACTATCGGTGAGCTGGATGCAATCCTACCTGGAGGGGAGAGAACAGATGGTGGAGGTAAACGGTACTCTGTCCCCCCCCCTCCCAGTGAGCTGTGGTGTTCCACAAGGAAGCATATTAGGTCCGTTACTGTTCCTAATTTATGCAAATGACATGTCATCAGCATGTGACTGCAACTTGTTCCTGTTCGCGGACGACTCAGCCCTGCTGGTCTCTGACAGGAGCAGATTGCAGGTTGAAAAAACCCTCAGCTCCGAGCTCGGCAGAATCTGCACCTGGCTCGCCGATAATAAATTATCATTACACCTGGGTAAAACAGAGTCCATTCTCTTCGGTTCGAAACATAATCTCAGCAAATCCGACGACTTCTCAGTTGCAGTGGGTGACATTATTGTCACAAGTAAGAAGGAAATTACATACCTAGGATCTATTCTTGAGGCAAACCTCTCCTGTGACAAAATGGCATCCAATGTAATAAAAAAAGTCAATCAAAGAACTAGATTCCTATACCGGATCTCCTCTCTGGTAAACAAAAACACCCTGAAAACTCTGGCAGGAGCACTCATTCAAGGGTACTATGACTATGCTTGCACGTCA